GCAAAGAGTGAATAGCACATAAATAAAAAAAATAAAAAGTACAACATTTTTGACATTTAACTGCAATAAATGTCATATTGAATACTGAACACAAACACTGCACTAGCATTTCTAAATGGTATATAAAAATTGCATATGATTTTTCCTTTTAAACAATTTTCTGCAAATTTCACAAATTACAACGAAATAGTAAGTAACACATTGAATTAAACAGCATTTTGAAGTAGAAAAACTGAAATGGTATTTTCTCGTATAACACACTCCAATTATCTTTATAAACAACTTTGAAAATAATATTTGACTGTGTATGCGAGTTGACCTAAAGTTCCCGAGCACCAGGTGTTTGCGGCATTAGCCCAAAACCCTCGTGGATTTAAGATTCAATAGGTCATTGTATGTAAATCTCAATCTAATCCTATTTACTGACTCATCCACCACAGTAACCTCGGAAAAGCAGTTCAGATTAGTTTTCCATTTAAAAGCATTTCTGATCTTATATTGTTGTTTTGTTGTAGCCTACTTTAAGCTGTACCTTTATAAATAAGGAGGTCACTTACCATACATTTCCTATCATCTACAGCAACCAAATCCTCCTCAAACTCCTTTCCAACATCAAACTCCATCTGGTAGTTCCTAAAGGTGGTGAGAGTCTTGATATTAAAATGATCACCATTCTGAACAATCTCCTTATCAAAGATGAGATAGCTGGCAATTTTTCTGATGACAACATTCACACCTGTAAGTTGAATACATATAAAATTGGTCAACCATAGCTGTATATGGTACATGAACCAATTTTTGTTTTTCACATAATAGAATCAGGTCTGCCAAAGGTACTAAAACGTATCTCTTGAGTACAAAATACAGACGTATTTCTCTTACTCTGACTGTTTCCAACAGAATATATTCTGTAACATCTCACATACCTTAGCATAGAAAATTTATTTCACATCGGTGTAATGAATAAATAAATGGAAAATGAAGTATCAGCCTACCTAGTGCTTCCATGTATTCATCAATGTTTTCATTACTTGTGATTTTCCAGTATCCATTCATGTCTACGGGAGACATATTTGCTTCGTTTTTGCGTTTGTCCTCTGCACTGATATTTCAAGGTGCAGCACGGCGTCTCAAATCACAGGGCACGTTGTAATCCTAAAGCCAATTAGGGCCTTTGGATTATCTCAAATAGCATTTACACATTTGCACACTTCTGCTGTGGATTTTTTATTTTTTTTTTCATTTTTTTGGACAGGAGCTCTGTCCTCGGGAGCGCATTGCAATGCATGATGCATCTCATGAACTCATGTCAGTCAAAGCATGTGAACAGACAGATTTGTCAGTTTGTAATTGTTTGATTCTCAGTCTGTCAGCAGCACAACAGTCAGTCAAAGCAACAATCACAATGCTGTCAAACAGCTTTTCATGTATGCCTACAGACTCCAGAGAGAGAGAGAGAGAGTGAGAATTGTTCACTGCACAAACAGGAGGTGAAGACCTGTCAGTAATGAGGCCAGTCTTGAGACGTCTTCCTGACTATGAATTACTCTGAAGTGTTTACAGTGAAATGTAAAATAAAAGATACAGAACTGTCATGATGAGCTATTCTTGAGATGTTTACTTTTTGGATCATGGCCTATTCCATCTTCCACAAACCACAAGAGAGCGCTTTTGACAACCGAACCAGTCACAAATAGGGTAGTAGTAATATTGTGACATAAAACTACATTTTAAAGTTACTGTTTGTAATTATTTGTCATTTGTAATATATTTTCCAATGTAATTTATTCCTGTGTTGGCCTAAGCTGAATTTTCAGAAGCCATTATTCTTGTTTTCAGCGTCACATGATGCTTCAGAAATGCTGATATTTCAGCTGAAGAAACATTTCTTATTATTATCAAATATTATCAAATAATTAATTTGCTTAATTTATTTTTATTTTTTTGTAAAAACTGTGATGTATATTGTTTTAGTATTGTTTGATGAATAGAAAGTTTAAAAGCACATATTTGAAATATAATTTTTTTGACAGTATAAATGTCTTTTCTGTCACTTTAGATCAATTAATGGTGTGCTTGCTGAAGAATTATTGAAGAATTATTAATTTATTCTTTCAAGTATTCATTTCTTTCAAAAATGAATGAATGAATCAATCAATCAAAAATCTTACTGACTTCAGCATTTTGAACGGTAGTGTATTTGGACAAATATTTAAGTAATAAATCACCTAAAAATAAAAAATCATGACATGACATACTTTTTATTTATTTATTTAATTTTTTGACAGACAGACATTTTGACAGACAAGGCCATTTGTATGGAAAGATCCATGTCAATTTTTTTCCGAAACATCGTGTTTTTTTGTTTGTTTGTTTGTTCGTTCATGTGGTCAGTTTGAGTTTGAATCTATATCTTTTCCCTGTGATTAAAATAGAGAATGGCCTGCCATATTATAAGAACTAATACCAAAATATTCTTTCTCTGTACTCACATACTCGTCCTACTTTCTCACTGACCTGTTTTATGACACACTGGAAGGAGCATTCAAGATAACGTCTGACTCATAAATATCACGCAAAGTGCTGGAACAGTGGTGACAGAATTAAGTGTAGCCTTTGGGCATTCTGATCTTCTGAACATCAAATGCTGGAAATGGTCCTTGTTCTTCTTGACATATTTCTTTGCTACTTATCTTGTCTTCCATGCTTAACAATAGAGTCCAAATACAGAATTTCTCTGATCACAGGAATGAAGATCAAATACAATGACGTTGTATAACCTCCTACCCACTCGCCCCCTTTTCTGGCAGCAGCATCTCAGTGGGTGATAGATTTATAATATTGTTTATGCACTATGCCAATTATCACTTCAAAACTGACTGTTTCCAAAGTCATAATGAACAGAGAAGAGCAATAATTCATCTTTCTGTAGGTACTAATTAAGTTCTGGTAATTTAGTTTTAACTTTTAGTAGGCTAATTAATCTTGTGTAGAAGACATTGTACATTTGCATGGAAACGACCCTCCTCCCCACTGATTCTTCTAAAACAAGAGAATAAAAAAAATGGTACACTACCATTCAAACGATTAGGGTCAGTAATTTTTTTTATAAGAAATTAATACTTTCATTTAGAAAAGACATAATACATTGATCAAAGGTGATCAAATGTATAATGTTACAAAAGATTTCTATTTCAAATAAATGCTGTTCTCTTGAACTCATCAAAGAATCCTGAAAGAATTCTATCACAGTTCCAAAAAAAAAAAAAAGATTTTTTTTTAATTGCAAGTATAAACATCAATAAACTTCAACAAATAAATATAACATTGGATGACAGTATGAATAAAGAAATAATACGGAAAGACAATAAAGGAAATAAAAAAAAATTTAAAACAAGGAGTACAGAGGTAGTAAATCAAATTATGTAACATTCAACAGATTGTTATACAGTTTCACAAATTTGTTTCACCATAGTTTCACCATTTTTTGTTGTTGTTGTTATAATTAGGTAGTTAAAGTCACAAAGAAAATTATGTAATTTGGGTAATGTTGAAGAAAAATAACATTTATGAATATAAGTCAGACCAAAATTCTTTAACATGGGGGCATTTGAAAAAAAAAAGATGGCCAATAGACTCAATACTGAAATTACAGAAATTACAGTTCAAATGAGCATTACCAAATTTTGATGTAATCTCATTAGTGGGGTATATATTATGCAAAATTTTTAAATGTAATTATTTTACTTTGTTGGGGACACAAAATGTATAAGTTAAGAGCCATGCTTTTTTCCAATTAATCTTATCTATTAAATAATTTAAAAAATAATAATTAAATAAATAAATCCCCTCAGAGTCATTCTTTTTCTTGACTGAAACACATTTCTTATCATTTTATTATTGTCATAAATACTCTTGTCTTCAACCAAAAACGTCTGTTCATTTTTTACAATCACTTCAAATGATAGATGACATTTCATTAAGTGAACAAGACCATTTGGTATAGCTTTTACCATTTTAAGAAATTCCTTATGGACAACAGGGAAATTGTATGAAATCACAGTAAGATTAAACATTCATAATGACCGGTGGACGTAACTAAAAGCTTTAGGTAATGATGTAATCGCGTAACTGCGTCAGCAGGCTCAGGTTTGACACTGAATGCGATTTACAGTAACAAATGAACTGTACATCTGTCATTTTTTTAGTTTTTGGCAACATGAGCAACAACAACCGTTCGCAATGCAACAAATTTGAGTAGAGCTCTGCTTCATTCAAACGAACAGCTGCACCATATGGTGACCAGTGGCAGTGCAGAGATAGTACCAGACAGCATCAGAACACATATAAAACAGCAGCATTGGATACAAACTTGATCACTGCAAAATCTTATTTATACAAGAACATGTTTTAATTCAGATTCTTATAATGCAACATTCTAAGGAGTTCAGAATAACAACAAATTGTCATCCTAACCTAGCCTATAACATTTTTTTTTTTTTTTTCAAATATCACGGTATGCACAGGGAATATTGAACTCAAGACTAAATAGTGAGCCAATTATCCAGAACATTTTAATAGGACAAATGACAAGAATGAACTAAACAGAACAGGAACTAATGCCAATAAAAAGAAACCCAAGAACATTCAAAGTGTCTATTGGCCAGTGGTTATTACACCTGACCCTTCTTACAGTGTAAGTGCTAATCAGAATCAGAATGAGCTTTATTGCCAGGTATGTTTACACATACGAGGAATTTGTTTTAGTGACAGAAGCTCCACAGTGCAACAGAATAACAGTGACAAGACAGGACACAGATAATAAAAAGAATAATATAAAAATATACAAAATAGACAATGTACAAAAAAGCAAAAACACAATATATAATATAGACAATATAGACAATTTTGTATGTAAATGTATTGTTTGTATGGATGTATTGATTTCTTTTTTAGGTGAAGGTGGTCTCTCCTCTCTCATTAGGTCATAGATCTCTCTTATCATTACTCTGCCCTCTCCCCTCATTGTGAATAACAGTTGAGTATAAAAGCTTTGGTGCACCTCCTCACTGGACCTGGCAACGCTCCTGAAGTCCAGAGCTCACCGCACAAACATGCCTGTGGATTTCACTGGAAAATGGGAGCTGGAGTCGAGCGAAAACCTTGAAAATTACCTTAAAGCGCTGGGTAAGCCTGATCAGTTGTCTGTTTTCATAAGTCAACGGAGTAGAAATAAGAGAAATATGTGCCATTTCCTAATTTGGATTATGCCGTTTTATTATGATATTAAAATATGATGTATATATCATGGAAATGACCATGCCAAGTTACAAATATTTACTCTCATAGACATTGACTTTGCCATCCGCAAGATTGCGGCCCACCTTACTCCAATAAAGACCTTTGTCCAGGATGGGGACAACTTTGTGATTAAGACACAGAGTGCCTTCAAGAGCTATGAGCTGAGCTTCGCTGTTGGAGTTGAGAAGGAAGAATTTACTAAGGGATTTGACAACAGGATGCTAAAGGTGAACTATACATATCAGGGCTGTACAGTGCGACATATATGTCGCACGTGCTACAAAATAACTGGTCTGTGCGATGAATAAATTTACCACTGTAGCACGCGTGCGATACAGTTTTGCATGTTCATAACACAGCCGCTTAATAGTGTGAAGTGATTTCGTTGTGCAGACGTTTTATACTTGTGCTACAACTTTTTGGCCTGTGCTACAAAACTTTCAACCTCTGTAGCACCAGTGCTATGTGAAAAAAAAGTTAACGTACAGCCCTGCATATATTTAATAGCTGCGATCCTCTTCTAATGACAATGTTATTTCGCCTGTAGTTACCCCAGCGTTGGCCTGTTGGCCATGATCTCAGTAAGTTTATTCAGTGATGAAACCACAGTAGAACAAATAGTGCACAACATTTGCCCAGAGGAACAAAAATGCTTTGAAGGTCTTCTTTTTTCTTTTTAGTTTCCATCTGAACACAGCTTTATTTTATATAAACAATGCTCCCTGTCAATGATAGAGTACAATACAGCTAATAGCTCTCCTCAATGAAAATGTCTTTTTATATGATGATATACTGTATAATGATAAAAAAAATCTGTTTATTAAATAGTAAACATATAAAAAGAAATCATAAAATTAGTTTATTTTGATTAAAATTGTGTAATAACAGCCCAGTTATTGAGGTGTATATATACAGTGGGTACGGAAAGTATTCAGACCCCCTTAAATTTTTCACTCTTTGTTATATTGCAGCCATTTGCTAAAATCATTTAAGTTAAGGGATGGAAACACTGGATAGAAGATGACAAACTGTATCTGGTGAGCATTCAGTCATTCTATGGATAATAATAACCTGATTAAGGTTAGAATCAACTATCATTTTTAGAAATATTTCTAATTAAGAAGATTAATGATACAAGTATTCCAGCTTACACAATTTTTTCCTGCACAATTCCCGTTTTGCTGTGTACTCACATTGGATACGTCTTGACCTCATGATCATTTCACTTGCAGGAGCTGACATGTGAGGACGCTGTGTGCCAGCAAGTGTACAAAAGAAAAGACTGATTTGTCATGTGATTCAGTTCATGTTGTTCTACTATCAAGTCTATCAAAATCGAGCTGTGTATTAACCCGATTAACACTTTCAACACTTCTGTAGGAGAATGGGTTTTCCTTCTGTCTAAATAAAGATAATGAGATGTTATGACTCATCATTTCTTGTGAATGTAACTTAGTTAAACTTAAAAATAAAAAATAGTTTTCTCTCTCCCTTGCTCACATGCACTAATAAACCTCAATTTAAAAAAAACAAACATATTAATTGATTATTTACATGATTTATATTTTCTTTGTAAGAACAATGTAAGGAGACACATAGCCTATCTAAAGCGATCAAACTTGTTAATTAATTGACTTCTAAAAAAAAATACATATTAATTGATTATATACATGATTTATATTTTCTTTGTAAGAAGAACAATGTAAGAAGAGACACATAGCCTATCTAAAGCGATCAAACTTGTTAATTAATTGACTTCATTATAATAGGTATATTATCTAACTATTATTTTAATAATTATTAGTAATTAGTTTTTTGAATATGCACAGAGATATAATGTAGAAAACAAGCAATTGTGTAATTGTACTTTTGACTCAAGGCTATAGGCTACTGAGATGTAGCCATTGTAACAGATTCCTTGTATGACGACTAGCCCTATTTGTTACGTTTTAATATTTATCATATCTGAATGTTTTAAACATGAGCACTGTATTTTTGGCGTGTTATTCATCATAAGTACACTGAAGGTGCCTTTTTTGGCTTTACAGGTAAGGGTTAAACTCAATTTCACCGCAAGCGCCTATCGCCATGCAGCATCCCTCAAAAAAGCCGAGTTTAACCGAAATTACCCGAAACACTCCGAAGCCGTCCGAGTGTCACGTCAACGCTTCCGACGTCAAGCGCACGGGCTTTGAGGAAGTTCCACGTCACATTTGGCTGCCGTCCGTGCACAAAACTGCAGCCGAAAAACACATCAGACTCTCAGTGGATGATATAAAATACTACAGGTGAAGGAGACCAAAACCAGCAAACACAAACATGGTAAGTGTGATATCAGTATCCGTGTTATTGGCAATATTAGACATTGATATTAGATATTGAGGAAAAATACGCTTTGAGTAATGTTAACGTTAGCTTGCGCTGTTAGCCTTGAAGGCCCTTGGAATGGCCACATAGACAGCTTTATCATTCAGTTAGTCTGTGAATTATTTATTCATTTTTACTCTTATTTTTATAGTTAATACGTCCATTTAAAACCTTACACTTACATATATTATAACTTCATTGCTCACTTAAATGTTGTTATGAAGTGAAATAGTGTGTGCTGGCTAACAGCTGATGATATGAATGTGACTTTAACATTAAGGACTTGTAAATAAGCACTATCGAAATGTGCTGCTGTACGTATATATTCTGTTCAGTAAAATGGTAATTCCTGACATTATCTGGAAGAGGCTTGATTTGTTGTAATTTTGTTGCTTATTAACTGTGCTGAAAAGTTAGCTGCTGTTACAATATCGGACTTTCAACTGGGTGACAAATAGCAATTTTGTTTTTTACTTGTGGGGAAAAACAGTCAAGGTTGAGTGCATAGACTGTATAATACCACTGCTTTCTGTTCCTAAAAAAAGAGAAATTGTGTGCTTTTTGTGTTGACTATTGGCGTTACTACTGTACTTACTACAGTGTAGAATGGATGCTGATTAATATCAACTTGTTTGTAATAGTAATAGTGATTTTGATTCTTCTTTTCTAGCCTCTGAGGCTGGACATCAAGCGCAAACTCACGGCTCGATCTGACCGTGTCAAAAGCGTAGACCTTCATCCGTCCGAGCCATGGATGCTGGCCAGTCTGTACAATGGCAGTGTCTGTGTGTGGAACCATGAAACACAGGTGACTAGCAGACCTTATGTTTTTCAGCATTTGCAATATATTACCATCTTAACATTAGAGATACAGCAGTGTGTGCTGTACGTTTGTCTAATAATGTCTAATAATGATATTTCATAGACTCTGGTTAAGACTTTTGAAGTCTGTGACCTTCCAGTAAGAGCCGCCAAATTTGTTGCCAGGAAAAATTGGGTCATTACTGGTGCTGTAAGTATATACGTGAATAATAATAATATGCACTAGTGTATAATAGCTATTAATACTGTTCTTGAAATGGTGTAATAATAAATAAATGTGTAATAATATATAATAAATAGATAGATACATACATAATAATAGATAAATATGGAACTTTTAATACATTTCCTCCCTTTTTTTGTAGGATGACATGCAAATTCGGGTTTTCAACTATAACACACTAGAGCGAGTACACATGTTTGAGGCCCATTCAGATTATATTCGCTGCATTGCTGTTCATCCCACCCAACCCTACATCCTCACAAGCAGTGGTATGTACAGATTAAATTTGCATCAAGTATTTAAATTGCACATGTACATATATGCATAGATTAATGTGTATAACATATTACACCGCCATTGTTATGGTCCGTAAGATTATTTTTAAAGAAAGTATTATTTTTATTCATCAAGGATGCATTAAATTGATCAAAGTTGACAGTAAAGACATTTATAGTTTTACAAAAGTTTTCTATTTCCAATAAATGCTGTTTTTTTTTTGTTGTTTTTTTGGGCACCAAATCAGCATATTAGAAACTGAAGACTGGAGTAATGGCTACTGAAAAATCGAATTTGCCATTTCTTAGAAAAAAGTTATTTTAAATCATAAGAATATTTCACAACGTTCCTCTTTTTGATTAAATAAATGCAACCTTGGTGAGGATAAGAGACTTATTTTAAAAACATTTAAAAAATCCCCAACCCCAAACATTTAAACTGTGGTGTGTGTATATGTAAAATTTTTTGTGTTTAACACTCATTGGTTCTGTGTATGTTTAGATGACATGTTGATAAAGCTCTGGGACTGGGAGAAGAAATGGTCCTGCAGTCAGGTGTTTGAGGGCCACACACACTACGTCATGCAGATTGTCATCAACCCCAAAGACAACAACCAGTTTGCGAGTGCATCGCTGGATAGAACCATCAAGGTACGTTTGAACACTCATGTGGATAGAGCAAGTTTGAATCTGACTTGTGACATTTCACCTATAATTTCTTCTGTGTTTTGTTTCAGGTTTGGCAGCTGGGCTCTTCCTCTCCTAACTTCACTCTGGAGGGCCATGATAAGGGGGTGAACTGCATTGATTATTACAGTGGAGGAGATAAACCCTACCTCATATCTGGAGCTGATGACAGACTGGTCAAGATTTGGGACTATCAGGTTTGAATGATATTGATAATATTAATATGCTTAATGCAGCAAGTCACTCCTCGCCGTTCATTTACTTATGTTCTGTGTTACCTCTCTCTCTTTAGAATAAGACATGTGTGCAGACGCTCGAGGGTCACGCTCAGAATGTGTCCTGTGTAAACTTCCACCCAGAGCTGCCAATCATCATCACTGGATCAGAGGATGGTGAGTCGTGGCACATAATGTTAAAATGTTATAGATCTTTTAATGATCACTTTTATAAAACTAAACTACCTCATTCCTGATGCAAATGTAACTGTCTTTGTTTTGTTATTCAGGCACGGTTCGTATCTGGCACTCCAGCACTTATCGTTTGGAGAGCACCCTGAACTATGGTATGGAGCGGGTGTGGTGTGTGTCTGGCTTGCGCGGCTCCAACAATGTGGCATTGGGCTATGATGAAGGCAGCATCATTATCAAGGTACTAAAAATAATTCAAAAGTAACACCATGCTGTTTCCTGTCAGTGGTGTAACATATTGGCTGAACCTCTGGGCTGGTAATTGGAAAGTTCAGTCCCTGCAACAAGAGAGCCATCATGTTGCTCCAGGGCCAGGGCTGTCAGCAGGGAGTCGGCAGAGGGTAGAGGATAGATAATGTTACAAACGATTTCTATTTCAAATAAATGCTGTTCTTTTGAACTTTCTATTCAAAGCATTCTGAAAAACAAAAATATTAAGCAGTTTTCTGCTTTTGAACAGTAAGGTATATAGATAGATTTACACGTCATTTCTGTCTACTTAAATGAACATGAACTAATTATCTGAATAGCTTTATATAATGTTATATCTCATGTGGTGAGTTCTCTGTAAGTTAACCGCTTTTTATTTGTGCTTTAGCTCGGTCGTGAGGAACCAGCCATGTCAATGGACACCAGTGGAAAAATCATTTGGGCCAAGCACTCTGAGATTCAGCAGGCTAACCTCAAAGCCATGGGAGATGCTGAGATCAAGGATGGTGAGAGGCTGCCACTGGCAGTGAAAGACATGGGCAGCTGTGAGATCTACCCTCAAACCATCCAGCACAATCCTAATGGAAGGTAAGACCACCACATCTATTAGTGGTTGAACGAATCGTAGTTGATCCGTGATCCGTATGGACCAAGCCCCACGGTTCGGCACGCATGTGTTCTGCAGATTAATTGTGAAATTTAACCATTTGAACAGACGCATATACACATAAAATTATGACAAAATACCGATCTCAACAATCATTCTGGTAAAAGCAGTCGGTTATGTCGTAAGTGAATGAGAACAGCTGAGAAAGAAATCGGATGTGTATCATTATATTGGATCCGTGCATCAGGTCTTAAACGGGCAGCAACCTAATAATACCTGGTGCTGTCATTATGCTCATCAAACAACAAAACACATTTTTGACAAAATATAATATTTTTTTAAATGTTATTTTACATTTAATTGTTACATTTTTGTACCTGAATACTACCGACCTTATTTTATTTGTAACACTCTGTTGTATTTATCTATGCTTGTAATTTGTGTATTTGTTCTTATTTTTACTGGCTGTTCACTTGTCTCTTTAATAATGTTTGAACTTTCTTTGGCTAGAATTTTTTTGCTGTGGTATCGAAGAAGTACCGTATTGTCCCGAATATAAGACGATATTCTTTTCTTGGAAATACATCTGAAAAAACGCGGTCGTAGAAAAAACAAGGTTTGGTTTTTAAAAAGCCTTTTTCCAAAAGGTACATCTGGAAAAAGGGGGGGTCGTCTTATAATCAGGGTCGTCTTATATTCGGGCCAATACGGTACTTATGAAAAGCAAAGTTACATTGAAATTATTTTTTTGTATTTTCTTGCTTATCCGAAAAATGATCTGATCCGTGGCTCAAAAACCGTAATATGATCCGAACCGTAAGATTTGTGAT